ATAGAGTGGGGAAAATGTGGCAAGCTGATCAAAACTATATATAATTCTTAAGCTACTCAGAGACTTAGAGTGCTGCATGTGAGATAGCAAAAGTACATGATATATGTAGTTTATGACATGGATAGTAGTGGACTATGCATACTGCATAATTTTTAACTTTTAAATTTAGCAGTCTGGTTGGTAACAACCAACTTGAGAACAAATTCTCTCAGCCTGAAATGAGAGTAACAGGGCACATCTATACGTGTGCTTTACTGCTGAGTTGACTAATTAACTTCGTAGTAAAGTGCCACGGTCTATACATGTGCCCTTATTAGGGTGCTGTAAATTAATTAACTTTGCCATAGGATAGATAGTACTGCCTGGGACACGTACTATCCTATGGCGGGGTACTTATTTGCACCAAAATGTACGTGTAGACTGTGACTGGGGCTGGCTGGGGCACAAGGCTGCTACAGTGTGGGGGCTGCTTGCTGGTTAGTCCCAGAGTGTAGCACCCTTGTGCCCTAGCCAGTCCCTCTGTCACCTGCCACCACCCGAAGCTGACCCCCAGGCTCCCTGCTCTCGGTCATCATCTTCACATGTGCCTGGGACCTCCGCAGTTTGATTTGCTGCGGTCCCAGTTTGATTTGCTGTCTGGGAGCAGCTGACTCCAGCATGAATTGCACTGAAGTTTAATTAGGCACGCTAATTTCATGTGTAGATGCACCCATCATGTCTTATGAGCAGATCCTTCTGCCAATCCCAGATAAGTGGTTGCAAGAACAGCCCAGGTTGCTCTAGATCTGAACAGATGGATTCTGTCCCTTTCATCTCCCTACACAGCCTCCAAACAATGTCCAGTTACCTGAGCTGCATGACGAGAATATCCGGATTTAAACAGTGACACTTTCAGGTTTCTCTGTATCATAATCAAGTTACAGAGGGTTGGTCTGAATCCCAGGATTTTTAGAATTTGCCCAAAGCAGTCCATAAATGGCCAGTTACTTATTCAAATAAGAATGGCTTTTCTCATGTTTCTTCATTTTGCGTTGAAGACAGTACTTCAAAGTATTATTAAATAAATAATCTCTCTGTTAAGAAAGCTATTTTAAAGCTTCTTCTCTTATGTTAGCTCTTTTTATATGATCAACTCTAAAAATAGCTGTAAATGAGAAATATAAAGTTAAAAATGTAGCATTTTAATTATTTTGAAAGGTTAAATACACTAACTAAAGTATAATTAGCTATAATACTTTATTGGCTATAATGCATTTTTTTAAGCACAAGTCATGAAAGGCCATCTTATGACCTGTTAAACCCAACTCACTGAATTTCATTTGTATTAGGTTTGGTTAGAAGGGACAGGGTTGGGAGGTTTTTTTAAACTACTGGGAATTTTGTGTTTGAATCAGTTCTTTAGAGGTCGCTATTACTAAGATAGCAAGAGTTTCCAAAACTCTGAGTGTTTTCTAAACACAGAATAAAATACATTTTTTAGCTGCAGAATCTAACCCAGACTGATAGTGGCAGTGTACTGTGTGGCATTTGTAAAACATGTGGTCTCATCAGCAGGCTTTCATTATTTTCAAAAGATCTTCATGCTGTAACTTTCCAGGTTTTGTTTTTTTAAATGTTATTTATCATGTCCACAGTATCATAAATGTGTGGAGCACCTTACTGACTGTCTTTAGACAATTGGTATGTAATAAAGTCTTTCAAGCTGAAATCCTTCCCCTACATACCAGGTTCGATAGAACTTGGTAAAGGAAAGTTCCTCACAGTAGGCCTGTGCGAAGCAGCTACTATTCTCTTTGGATTCAGCTTAGGCTGATTTGGGGACCGTGATTCAATTCAAATCACCTCTGAATCTTTTCTAAATCTATTTGGAGGCTTCAGATCGATTCAGACCTTTTTATTGGTCTCCTGATTTGATTCAGATTTGGAGATTCAGCCACCAAATTGGGCTGAATCTCCTCTGAATTGAATCAGCAACTGAAGCTTTGTGCAGCCCTACCTCAGAGGCTGAGACCAGATCCAATCAAGTCATAGTCAGAAATGTTATAAATTATTGAATTTCTGAACCTGTAATGATTCTCAACATTCCTGCTCTTTCATTCTTTACAGAGTAGAGAGTAATGGCTGTTAAGTCATGTACTGATAAATGTTCTAGCCCTTCCCCCTCATGCAGCCCCTGTCTCTTCCCTGTCCGTATCAAGTCCAATTAAATTGAAATATTTATTGTTTTTTCTACAGTCATAGTTCAACTCTTTACACAAGATTCTGATCCCACTTTTTTATACTCTGCATACACACTCAATACAAGGTAGTCCCTGCCTCAAAGCATTTACAATTTAAATAGATAAAACAGAAAAAGGATGCTCCAAAGAAATTATGAACCTGATTCTTGAGATGGGAAATTGAGATGTGCACAATTTTCTGGGCAGAACCAGGAATGAGTCTCTTAAGCCCTAGCCTACCATCTGTGTGAACATTCTTCCTCTTAGTAGGAGATAAGGAACCCCTGAAATTATTCCAAAAATTATGTGTCACTCCATAAATGTGCAGAGTAACAGCAGTGGATCTGGAGGCAAAATCTTGAGCACGGTATCTCAAAAAAAGAAGCTGATCAATAACTTGGAATAATTTTTCTAGCATTTTTCTCATTTTAGCTTATGGATCACTCTGAGTTTGTCAGAGCTGAATGTATTGAGACAAACTGTAAGTTTACAGATGCTAAATTATTGTTCACAAAAATAACTAAGATCTGAATTTGTTACTGGGTTCTTCAATGTGTAGTTCTTCAAATTGTGGCACAAAACATAGATTCAAATGTCTACATGTAGTTTGTGTGCCACTCCCCACAGTTTTGGGTGATGGCTAGCAAACACCTATTCATAGGATATTTATTTATTTCAAGGTGTAATTTTCATAGATAATATATTGTGAATACATTTCAAAGGAAACAAAAAAAAATCCACTAAGCAAATCTTTAATGAGGAAATAGAAAATTTCTTAATCCTAATAGACACCCTGTAAACATAGTTTCCAGGTTCCAGTTTGGGGCTCTGGGCTTCATGGTGGCCTTGTTTTATTATGCTGCCGCTGCAGGACCAGAAGGCTGACAGACTTAACTGATAGGGAACACATTATGTGAGACTTCTTTAGGTAACCTATGGGCACTGGAATAATAGTCTTAAACCATGCTTCTTCCTACTCAATAGTCATGCCACGTTAAATTGAGGTGTAAACATAAAGATAAGACTATACTGTCCTGTGTTCTAGCTATTTTGACTCGCTCTGCAGGTAATAAAAGTTTAGGGAGTCCACTAGAACAATACTGTTTTATGCCAGTGTTCAAACTACTCCCTACGAAACTTTGGAACAATTATTCTATTATCATAGAATCGTAGAAAATTAGGGTTGGAAGGGATGTCAGAAGGTCACCTACTCCAGTCCCTTGTTCAGAGCAGGACCATCCACAATTAGATCCTCCCAGCCAAAGCTTTTTCTAGCTGGGTCTTAAAAACCTCCAAGACTGGAGAGTCCATAACCTCTCGGGGTATCCACTGTTTTGCTACCCTCCAGTGTTTTATCCTGGCCTTGGGTAGTACTCATGAAAATAATCTACAACTCTATTTTGGAGTGTTTGAAACAAAAATGATCAAAGAAAAGTTTTTTTTTTTTTCCCCTCCCTCATATAACTTATCCTGATTTTTACAGCGGTTATATTATGTACTAGAGGAGGACTTTGAGAGTTTAATTAGTGAACTAGGAATACTTATGCAGTGCAGGCATCATCTGTCAACTCATAGAAGCAGCATACATAAGTGTACAATGCTTTGTATACTACTTAGTTTCATTTACCTAGTAGAATAAGTAGACCAGTGAATATATACTGTATTTACCCAAATCCAAGATGACCCCTTCCAATTCAATATGAAGAAAAAAAGCCTCATCCTAGACTTGAGCCCAAAGCAGACAGCTGCTGTGGCTCAGGGTCGGATTCTGGGACAGAGTTGTTACTACTGCTGTTGCCAGGCCAGGCCAGGCCATAGCTCATGCAGTAAGGGAGTGGACATGCAGTTGTGGGGTACGGTTGAGACCATGCAGTGTCTGTTGGGGGGAGGGCTCAGGGGAGACCCTCACTGCAAAGTGTCACCTGTACATCTACTGCCCTGCGTCCCCTACCATGCCACATGAGCCACTCTGGCATGGCCAGGCAGGAGTGGTGGTGACACCTCTGGCTCTCAGCGGTAGGGGAGAGCACAGGGGAGACTGCAGCTCCAACTCTGACTCTGGCCCCAACCCAGGCCTGGGGCTGGAGCTGTGACTGGAGTCAGAGTGAAGCTGCTGCATAGGTTATGGACTAGTAGTGAGGAGCAGGAGGTCAGGGGGAAGGGATTCTGGCTGCCTGCCTTATCCCCAACTGTTTTCCCTATCACAGCAGTAAAAGGGATAAATTTAAGGGACCCTTCAATAATTAGATTCTACACATGAAAAATTATAACAAATGTATAATTTTCCATGTATAGAATCAAATTATTAGGGCATCACTTTAAGTTTGATGTCATCTTGGATTCAGATAAATGTGGTTATTTGAGAGAGAGCATCCAAATACGTCTTGGTATGGGGACAATGTATTTTTGCATACTGATTTATAAACACAAAAATTGGGATGTTATAGATGTTCACCTTTTTGTTCTTTTCAGTTTTAAGAAAATAATATTTTTATTTTTCCTTTGGTGCTTTTTTATGGATTTCCCTTTTCAAGTTTGCTTATTTTCCTTCCTTAAGGCTGTAATACAAGTGCTGTATTCTGATTAGAAAGGATTGAATCCAGTAAAATGCCATTCCAAACACTAACCTTTATTTTTATTTAAAAAACGGGCCATCAGTTGAATAATGATAACTGATTTTGACAAATGAAATTTAAATATTTTGAGCTTTTAATGTATTACTTGTGACAAAATGATGAATTACAATCTGTCATTGATCATTTATCATTTTTATTTTGACAGGAGGAGACCAGTAAGGATGTATATGTGGTGGACAGCTGTTTTATTTCTTGGATGCATTTTGTTGGGAGCAGAAGGGTGGCCAGCCAAGGACTTTAAGCCTTATCAGCCTCTAGTAAGATTACGCCACAAGGTACAAATAATTTTCTGGCGCTCATTGCTTTTGTACTCCACAGCTAAGGAATAATTTCCTCATTAACTTCCAAGTGCTTACATTAATTAGAGTAACATTTGGAAATAAGCTTATTCAGTAATAATATCTTCCAAATGTTGGCCTGATTCAAGTATAAGCTGGACCTTTTATACAAAAATCAAACTATGAAAAGCAGTATTAAATACTGATTCTCTTACCACAAGTTGACTCTTTCTAGAAAATGTGATTCTCTGTTGGCATTGAACCATCATAGCAACTTGAAGTCCACCTTACCCAGCTGCCAGTTTAGGAGGAATAGCAAAGGGAAAAGGGACGTAGCCATGGCTTCTTTGTACCTGGCTGCTCTAAACACCCTTGGGGGCTGTTTGTGGTTGCTGCAAAGTAAAACAGCTCTTAAACTGCTCCAGCATATGCTAGAACGTGCAGCATTATCCTGGTATCTTTAACCCTTTTCCGGCCTCCAAGGTGGTTTAAAGTTACACTTACCCTTTACTTCTGGTTACAGGTCCAGTGTACATCAATGGAAAGTCAGGGCCATTATTTGTATTAAACAGCTATGCATTTTGAACATGTGAATAATTTATCATTGGGTACAAAGAGTAGGGATTAATCATGTGTCAGCTGCTCCACAGCAACTGCTCACATGCACACTTCCTGCAAGGAAACTGAAAAGTAAACATAAGTAACTTATTTCTCTTTCATTAAAGCTTAAGCTACTGCACTTCATCTTCCACTTACTGCAGACAAAAAGCATATACTCCCCTAACTCCCCCCCAGAAACACATAAGCTATTCCATGGTAGAACTCTATTCCATTTTACCTATGGTGAATTATTCATCTGTGCATTCCTCAGTCTCTGGAGGTTAAACTTGTAAGTGACATTATTGGGAGTGAGGTTGAGTAAGGACTGAATGAATTGGCCTAATAATCTACTCTGTGTAAAACATATTTCTCTCACAGGGAAGATTAATATATAAAATGTAATTTCAATAGAATACAGTACCAAATGCTCTCATACTGTAATGAACTCAGTAGATCCTAATTATGCAAACACTTGCATATGTGCTTAACTTTAAGCATATAAGTATTTCTGCTGATTACCTGCCATGACCAAGACCTTAAATTCATTAATTCATTTTTATATGCATACTATCAACATAGCACACCTTGCTATTATAGCAGAGAAAAATGAAAAGCAAGAAAAAATAGATTAAAACTCAGAGGAAATTCACAGAGAGAGGCAGACATGGAGGGTCACCGTGCAAAGACCAAAGAAAAACTCCTTAGATTGTCTACCTTCATTTCCAAGAGGAGTGGAGAAAAATGCCAAGATGGGAATAAAAACAGGAGATGAGAAACAATGAACTAATTTTGGACTTATGGGTGCAGGAGTCCACCCAGGGACATGGGAGTCACCCGCACATGTCCCTCTGAGCAGGCATAGTCCCTTTGGCTGATGATGATGGTGGGGGGAGCAAAGGCATGCTTGCCTGTGCCTGGCAGCTAATCAGGTGTGGCTTGGCTATGCTTGGCTGCACTTGCCAGTCTCTGGCAGCGCAGAGAGCTCAACAGGAGGCATGCAAGAGTGCCTCCAACCTGCTGCCCTTGGCCAGTGCAAGCAGCCTGCATGCCCCACCAATAAAGGGTGAACAGGTGTTCTGTTTGCTACCCAATTAACTTACGCTGCTTACAGAAACACGCATATAGTTGATCGATTCTGCCTCAGGGTTTTTGAAAATCTGTACTTAGCGAAAGTGTTTACTTATGGTTCATCATAGGTGCCAAAGGTATCAACACAAAATGAGAACACAGGTGAACGACGCTAGAAGTGCAGTCTAGTAAACAAATAAAGGATGGCGGAATTCTTAATTCTAACCAGATAGGACATTTATTACAGTAAAATTTAGCTTTTCAGAGCTGGTAAAAAGAATGTGCATGTGATATTTGAGGGTGCTGACAGATGTGAAAATAAACCCCAAAACACCACACTTTACAGGAAGAGGAACTGCATTAGTTTGACCCAGCTCTGCAGCATTTTTTATCTAATAGCTGATTCAATCATCTATTAGAGAAAAACACCAAAAAGCTCTGGTGGACTGCCCAATCTATACAGAAGTTGGGCAAGCTAGGTCAAACTAACACAATGCCTCTTTTGGGCATGCTCTGCACTTGTTGCGGGTGCACATCAAACTTAAAGTAAAGCACCATTTATTTAGGGTGGGTGGGTTTGCCCTCTGTAAACAGCCTGTACTTCTGCTATCCACAGAGACTTACAATATTAGACTCCTTATGGGCAGTTGATCCAAAGGCACTGGCTCTGGTGCTCTTTTCTCCAGTGTAATATGACTGACTTCAGTCAAGTTACTTTTGTTTGGCATTACTAAAAGGGAAAAAAACATCAGGCCCAGTATCCTTGAAAGGAATGTTAAAAAGGAAGATGTTTTATTTTACAGCAGAACTATACTGTATATTTTTGCTTCTTTGACAAAAAAGGATAAAATTAAAGTATAAAAAGAAGAAAGTGAATGATAAAATGAAGAGGTTAAATGGAAAAAGAGTAGAAAGAAACTAAGAAAGAGAAAATGTATTCTGATTTTTAGCCAGGAAAATATTGTTTATTTTCTGAAAAAAATGTTTCTACGTGATAAAATGATCTAGCATAGTTAGCTTCTTAATAATATAGGAATATATAAATATACAAGAAATTGAATTTAGGGCAGGTTCCACATGCAGATGGTTTAAGTCAACTCAGGCACAGATGCATGGTCCAAGTGTGTGTTTATGTATAGCTAATATATATATAATTGTGTGATAGGTACTGTAACAATCTATTTGAGAGTTTCTACTTCTTTCAAGCATTTTGTATCTGCAGTGTTTAGATTACGTTTATTTATGTAAATGACAACAATCACAAATACAACAAAGTGTGCTGGCTACTGAACGAATAACGTGTGCATAGTTTATGGAGACGTAGGATGTAACCAAATGAGGATTAATTGTTTCTGTAGTACTGGAAAGCTTAACCAATGACTACAATCCAACCAGAAGACTTCAACTGGGAGATAACAAGGGAAAAATGGCCCATTTTTTCTAATTTAACTCAGAATAATGATTGATTGACAGCTTGATTTAAATAGTTGCCATTTACAATAGTAGTTTTTCATATTCACAAAGCTAGTTTTGTACAACTGTTACAAGATGATATAGGAAAACCCAATTAGGTTAATATATAGCAATTAATATATGTGTGTGTATAGGTGCAATATGTGGGATCAAAACCTAATACTGAAAGGTCTGTATAAATGAACCTTAGAGCAGATTTTAGCTAAAATCTATTTTGCTGTGAAAGGAGATTATTGAGAATTAAAATGTCACAATGATACACACACATACAAAATAGCTTCCAAGAATATTACCAGGGAAAGATATAGTTGCCAATGAAGGCAGCAACATCCATGCTAAAGATAATGAAAAAGGGGAAAGAATCTTTAATCCAGTAGTTTAATGGGCTTAGTAGTGAAGTGTATTTTGAATTATAAATTCTTCAAATCTCACTAGTTAATGCTGAGGATATGAATTCCCTAGAAATACTGTGGACATTTAGCTAGCTGAAACCACCTTATTTAAGAAAACATACATGTACATCTTTGTCCCTCCAGAGTCCATATTCACCATAAAGGCACTATGCACAGAAGGAAAAGAGGAAACCGAATCACAATTTTTTTTTTTACTGTAAAGATATTTCAGAGAGCAAGTAGGTCCATGACAGGCTTCCAGAAACACCACATGACTTTATACAGCTGTACTTCCACTTGTTTCTTTTTTCCTGGTCCAACAGACTCCTTCCCTCTTTCTCTTAATAAGAAAATGGAGCAGAATGACCCTAACTTTTGGTTAGGAGACCCAGAAGTGTCTGAGTACTTTGATTGCTGTGGTTGGTAGAAGGGAAAGACAAGGCAGAAAAAAAAAATCCTGTGTACAGAGTAAACCTTATACAGTGTATCTAGCAGACCATTCTATTACTGTTCTTTTCCTTCAGCCTCCATTGTCCTACCTTCAGTTTGCCTGGGTTTGCATATTATCTGCAATAGGTAATGTATGAGAAAAGGTAGATTGGCAAAGTCAGGCTGATTCAGACTGATTAGGGCACAGGTGTTCCAATTCTTATGCCATGACAAGTCCTTCCTGAATGGGAGGATGGGAAGTCTGCAGTGGGAATTGTCAACCCTGCTGTGTGACATGACAGGTGCAGGATTTTCCTAAGGAATTGCTGAAGAGGAAGATCCAGAGGGGGTGCAGTGGCATGACTGGACCTTGCCATGAAAGCTTCTGGGGAACTTTCAGTTAGGTACAGACAGTCAAAAAGCCTGAGGTTGAACTGATTCGGCCTTTGCAGGTTAATCTAAGCTGTGGAGCATGAACCAAATAGTAAATGGACAGACATTCACTTCTGATGAGGGAAATGCAACCACAAGGCTGAAGTGGCTCAAGCCGGAAGCTTCAGGGTGCTAGAGCATGCCTGTCAGCCACTGCCAAAGGGGAGGGAAGAGAGAGAATAGAGACTTTTTTCCCCTCCCTGCTGGACTAGAGGAGGCATGGCCAGGCACCAGCCTGGGGCTAGCACACTGGGGTGAGGGTTTAAATCACCTCCCTGGCCCACATGGGACTCCAGCTTGGGACTGCAGTGGGCCGGGAGGGGCAGTGCCTGCCAGGCTTCTGCCCCCCTGCACTCAAGGGAGGGGGAACAGCTGCTGCTAGATTGAAGAGGGGGGTGGGGTGGGGTGGGGAAAAAGGTAGTAGCATTGAATTCATAAAAGCTTGAACAAAAATAGTCCTTTCTCTGAAGCGACCATGTACTGAGCACAGAATTTTGCAACCTCAAGCACATGACAAAACAACCAAAACCTTTGCCTAAGCTAAGATATAGCCCAGTAAAACACAGTGAGACATGAGTGAGTCATGCTGCCTTAGTCAGGAGG